GTTACATTCGACTTCTTAATATACTATCAAAAGATATCGCAATTTTGTACCGTATTTTCCTATGGATCCTACCAACTCTTAGAATCTTACAACCTCTTCGCCACCCATTACCCAATGTTTGATAAATAGTGAAATGGGTGTGGAGGTGGTCGTTAGGAGTCCTCTCAGAAACACCCCTGATTTTTAGCGATAGTCCCACAAGGTATGGTCAGAACACTAAATTCTCACCCATGTTGAGAAATGAGCGTCAGACCTCGTGTTCACTGAAAGCCCACGTCAGACAATATTGATCAACCTTTATATAAATTACGAGAGTCAAAACGTGCATATTATGGGACACAGGACGGAAAGCCTACCCTACTCCACCCTTGGACAACAACACTCTTGAACTCCGCTTGATTTTACACGCTCCCCTGTACTGGCTTACTAGCAAACTCATTAAAACCGCTTGCTCGTCGTACCTTGATTGTAAAGGCATGGCTTTGTGGCTATTTAGTTGGAATGGTAGCCCACCACGAGGGAGTTTTTTATTCTCTTGGGGCTGAACTGACACCGAGGTAGCACTCTTTTCAGAAACCTTAATAGACCATCAAAACTTTCGACACTATTCCATTGATTTCCGAGATTTCGACCACAGCGGTTATTCGGTGCCTGAATCACGAATATGGACATTCAATTACGTTGCTGGTGCCATCAGCTTTCTAACCAAAATGGATGAAAACTTGCATACTGGGGTGGTTTGACGTCCTCATTACAAATATGACATCATCCTTGGCACCAGCGCTAATGTAGGGCACCCTGATTATCTGCGGTCTGCTAAGGCTGAGCCTGGCAGGGAACTAATCACTCCTTCTTCCAGACCGAGCCTCAGCAGAGCGCTAAATTGCGTTGGTGTCATATAATGAATCCCATGTTCGTGATGATATCAATTAACCCTATTGCACAAGTTTTCATCAAATTCGATGAGAAAGGCTATCGCGTCAAATTGGTACCATTTGGCCTGAAATGGCGTCGGCGAGAAAAAAAAAGTGTCATTGTCGTGATGAGGATGTCAAATACCCTCCGTATAAGTTCCCATCGATCTCGGTAAGAAATGTGGTGGTGCCAAACTGGCGCTTATCGGCGCTAAGTGGCCTTAGCGCAAAAAATGAATGTCATATTTGAGAACAGGGCACCGAACAACATCTATAGGCAGTTTCAGCGATTTTTTTAGGTTTTATAGTCGTAATAATGGAATAGTGACAAATCTTCTGATCCCTCCCTCTTTAGCAACTGGTAGCACTACCTACTAGCTCGTGCAATAAATGCCACCAGTCTTCCTTGGGCGCTCAGCGTGAAGTCATGCAGAACTAGTTTAGCTGTTTTTCGGGAAGGTTTTTCGAAAAGACACATCAATAACAACTGAACAGCGAGATCGAAATTACGATCCAAGCGGCGAAAGCAAAGGAAACAATAGAAAATGAAAATAAATAGTACAATCACAGAAGATGAAAAAGAGTACAGTGAACGTGAGGATATAACAACTCACAATAGGTTCCATACTTCGCTCTGAAAACTTGCTGTTGAACTGAAGGCAATCAGTGAGAATTTGAGCAGTGTAGTCGGATGAAAATCGCATCGTATCCTAGAACGTTCATTACGGTCATATTCAGGAGGCTATTGAGAGCTAGAAGAAAAGCCCATCAAAGCAAAACAGAGAGCATATAAGATCACATTCGGATGGGTCCCACACCCTGCAAGACATTTCTTTTCTCGTATGTTTCTCCAACGGTAAGCGGTTATGGTTGATAGCCAGTGAACCCCTCATAGGCAGCGTTCATACTTCGCGACAGCAGCGGCGATCGCGGCGCGATCGTCGGTACGTGGCAGAGCGCGCCCCAACGCTATTATGGACTGCTCGCTTGATAAATAAGGAAATCCAACTTGTGAGACCTTCTTTTCTCTTAATAATGGCTACTAACTGATAACTTACGACTTTCTATACATAAGCGGATCTGGAATATGAGGTAAGGAGGTTTCACTTCTTTTTAGGTCGGGATAAGGCCAACTCCATTTCCTGGGTGAGCTTCTTTTTTTTCTTTTGTTTTTATTGTTTCAATTTATGCAAGCGCCTCAAAAGTTCCTATCGTCTGAACTGTTCCAACTTCCAAAACATTGTTTACAAGTCGAGTTCAAACAACGAAGAAAAAAGAAACAGAAAGAAACTCACCTAGGAACCAAAACACTAATCATTTTACGCAACATCAACAGGTGAAAACTTTATAACCTCATGTATAAGCTCGACGAATGAAAAAAGAAACAATAAAAACCTACCCTAAATGAAGCTCTCACGCTTTTTGCTCATTTCTATCCTGAATCAAGAAAGAAAATAGAAAACAAAAGCCATTAAGTTGGGTTCACTTTCTTTGTGTCAAACCAAGCTTCAGTACCTAAGAAAATTGCAGTTAAAGGAAAAAAGCATGAAATTGAGTCGCTTCTCCCTAAAAGCCTTCGGAGCGGTCCAAGTAATGGGGCGCGCTCTGCCATGTACCGACGATCGCCGAGGTCGCCGCGATCGCCGCTGCTGTCGCGAAGTATGAACGCTGCCATAGAGTCCACGGTGTTCAGTGTATTCTCGGTGTAGGTATGAAAGAAAAGGTAGAAAATTCTGGATAAAATTTATTTCTAGTGCAGTCCCCCATAACTTCAATACACTTGTTTGCTCGGAAAACAACTTTTAATACCCTCTAAATATATTCCTCCTTAGCCCCAAAATGTGCGTTAATTGCCGCCTTCAGCTCTTCATCGTCAGAAAAACGCTTTCCACGAAGATCTTTTTCAGGTTGGGGAACAAGAAGCAATCACTAATCATTCGCCCAATTTTCTTTTCAGGTTTTCCTCTAGGTTTTCCTTTCATTTTTGTCAATTTTTTAGCACTAATCATTTTCCCAACATTTTCGCATCAGCCACACTGATCCTCTTTCACCAGGGAGAACTAGAATATTTTTAACGGCCCTCGTGGTACTCAAAGAACCCATAAGGAAGCTTTCATACGTTGCGACTAGGGAGATTCAGCGATTTGGGAGAAACGGCGACTGGAGCGATTGCACGACGAAGTATAGGTAGGAACTGGCGAATGCGGAGATTGAACGATTTCGGTTCGGAAGACTAGGGGTTTTCGGCGATTGCACGCCGAATTAGCGGATCGGTAATCGAATGGCGCTGGTCGCTAGCGACTGGAGACTTGGCGATCCGGTGTTCTCCCGAAATCGCCGAGTCCCTCGAATCGCCGATCGCTCAATCTTATGCACTGTCAAATCGAACCTATACTTTCCTCGTCGCGCAATCTTCCTCGCAGAATCTCGCAAATCGCTAAACCTCCTCAATCGCAAAGCATAAAAGCGGCCCAAGCTATTTAGTGAATGAAAGAAGGGAATTAGAGGCAAATTGGAATTCTGAACAAGTAAAAGCCGCCCACCAACAAAACAATGTCTGGAAAACGTTCCATTCAGGACCAATTCTGATAATCCGTAAAGTCGCGACATATTTGTTATAAAATCAGACAGCAAAAACTCTACTAGTAAAATCGATCAGAGGACATAAGACGAAATATTTGTTCGGAGGAACGTACCTTCTTCCCTCTGTCTTTGTGCCTAACATGTATGACGAACTCATCCTGTTTACTATCGTTGTTTTTCGGCGAAGGTTTGATCGCTAAGAAATCTTCATACTGCCACTGTAATACCAAATGAAACAGGAGAAACTCATTTCAAAGGAACTGATTTCATTTCCCTCACTTCCTTTAACTCTGGGGTGGTGAGCTAATCTGACAAAGGGGATGGTTACTACTTGTGCTGGCTGCACTACCACATGGTGAAGAGGGTACGACTACTATGCAGGCGCGGCGAGGCAATATTCATTTGTTCTAACCAGTAAGTGGACAAAGATGAGCTTATCCCTTAGAAACTTTTCTCTGTTAAAGCATCTACGTGGTATGTGCGCATCGTATCATTCACCGTGATAATGTACAGGTATTTTCAAAGCTTATTGGTAGTTGTTCGGCTATGGAGGGAGCATTCCGAAGTAGGTCTCGGAAAATTACGCTTCTGACCAAGGCGAGACTCTTATCAAGCGTTAATAAAGCTCATGCTGCTGCACAGTTTTATAGGAATTCACTGATCTCCACGGGAGGCATCGGCAATGATCGATGAGAGCCAGCAAAATGCCCCAACGCCGAATGGGGCCGTTCTCTGAAATCAATCACAAATTCCATGGTTGCACTGGGGGTTTCAAAAGGTTCAACTCTTAAAAAGACCAGTTTGGACAGAAGAGCCACTGCATTTATGGGATAAGCACGAGTCACCCAAGAGAGCTCTTCGAGAAAATGAAGTTCACAGTGAGAATACCTGGTTTGTGTTTTCCAACGTCTGAGGGTTGTACGTAGTTATGGCCAACGTTCCAATAGAAAATATTCGTTTGTACCTGAAATTATGTTTGAAGTGAAACGTTATTGGGCGCTACTCCAGTACACTGGGATATCGAGGCAGAAAATCGCCGGGCTACTCTGGTCTCAATCTATATAAGGGTTTTTATGCTACCGTTTGTTCCAAGCTTCGTCTTCATGCCATTATTTGGACTGTTCTCTAGTGTTAGACGGTACTAAAAGCACTCTCCGCGTTAGAAATGGTGAGTGGTGTAGCTTTAATACTATTCTCAAGATGGTGAATAACACAAAAAAGTGGAGAGTAGCAGAAAACTTCCCCCGAGAAGCTCTATTTAGGACCCAACACTGAGCCGCGCTTGTAAGGGGAAGGAAAGGCGCGGCTGGACGAGTTCTCACTGGTTGGTATCAGCTCTTCTACCTTATCAGCTCACTTTCCCCATTCGGAAATGGAGAGATTCCGCAGTGGAATAATCACGCCACTATCAAGTCCTTCCAAATGAAAATTGGGCGTTGCCGTGGCCAGTGGGCGGGGCGATGCCTTCGTCGCAAACGGACCACGCCCTTTCTCACGGATTTCTGAGCTCTGAAAGTAGTACATCCTCCACGCTTGCAGACAAGGACAACGTTGCCGAAGAAGGCATCTGAACATTGATTGCGGACCGAGTCCTTCAGGGGAACAATCTTAAGAAACGGTTGAAATCAAGGAATGCGGATTTTTGTTTGAGCCCAGTTGGAAGGAACTTCGGGGAGTCCTTCCACGCCTCATCCAAGCTTCGAGAAAAAGCCTTTTATGACGTTACCAATAAGAGGAACAGAACTTTGGTATACTTAAGTAGAACACGGTATTGGATTCCAATCAAAGTTAAAAATGATGGAAGCTCATGGTGAAAGGTGAATTCGTGTGATGGAAAGGTTAATAAAGCTTCATGTGGAGAAAATCATGGAAAATACTTAAGACTCAAGAAAAATTAAGATAACATAAATCTTAAGAATCCATAGAGAAAATCGTTCCACTCACTTTCCTTTCCAAGAATGTTTAGTGACCAAATAACAGACGACATCCCGATTATTTGCACAATATTGTGCCATAACAGCACGAGGTCACACCAGCCTCGTCGATGGCCAAAATAACCTGAAATCCAAACCGGATCAAGGTCCGAATTTTAGCTGTATATGAGTCACGGCAAAGGCACGAA